CTGGATTAAACTCCTACTTTAACTACAGTTGAAAACAAACCACAGTATCCCTTAAAAATGTATTGCTAACATCTTGAATAAGCTTAATACATTTACCGCTGGACATAATTGTGGATGTGCCTTCTAACAGAAATCAGTTCATTTTCATAAAATAAAGTAGTTTAAAAAAGAGAAACAAAAGGGACATTCAAACTCATAAGTCGAAAATAAACTGACAAATTGAAAGCCATTGCTAAAAAAAAAACCCAAAAAACAACAGACACACATAAGTACACAAAACACAACATTGAAAACTAAAGACTGAGCAACCCGAACCCCACTAAAAACTGAGATGATGGTGCTCTGGAGGGGTAAGCAGATCCCGTTCTACATGTGACACAGGTCGTATAACTCATGTAAGTACAGTTATAAGTCTAATTCGGTAGGTCACATTCAGAAAAGGTGGACGGGATTGTAATAACAACAATTGGAACAGATATTCCATAACGGTCAAAAACATCGTGATGGCGTCCGTAAAATTTACAGAGGGTTTATTTCAACTTCTTGATGAAGTCTGTTTTAAAGAACTTTTTGTTTGAATCGGAGTGATTTTTTACAAAGTACGTTGGCCATACTTTTTTATGAAATAAAGTAGGACCAATGCACAACATTCAATTTTTCTTTTAGTTAGGAAAGGGGAATACTTGTGTAAAATTTAGAAAAGTCAAATGTCTTGATACTATTGCAAGATTAAAGAGATTGTTTGTACTCTAAAAGATCTTTGGAATTTTTCGATATCAACATCTGATTCATGCCTCATCTAGATTATAGGTAGTTTCTCAATAACTTTGAAGCACGGCTTTGATTGCAGATAAAATTGATGTTGATAATTTAGAAAGAGTTTTCATGAAGCATTTGATAGACCCAGCAATATAACGTTGTTTGTAAGGACACTTACGTAGTTTAGTTATCCAACACAGTGATGGAAGATCTAGTTCTTCATCTTTGGTTGAAATACCAGAGGAACATATAACAGACCACTGATTATCCAGGAGTCCCTCCTTTGTAAGTGTTGTGGGGGTATATTTTGAGTTTCCAAGTGAATTTGTACATTAGAAAAACAATCAAAAAGACTCAAATAAAATAATTTTCAATACAAAAAGACAAAACACCTATATATACAACATTTACTTCAAACGAGTTTGATAATCCTGTATTTACATATTTTCCCAAATACAGTGTCAATAATTTGACTTCTATGTTGTTTTATGTCGCATCTATTTAGCATGTATGAGGATATGGATTTGAGTTAACCGAATAGAGAATAATAACCCAATACTATAGCAAAATTGTTATGAATAGGAATCAAATCTTACATAATGTAATACTTTACCAGGCAGTAAAAGCATAGCATACATGTAATAGCTTAATTGAATTATTATTTATTTAACATGTTTAATTCACTAAGTTATATATGACAAGAGACATCTTACAGGTGCGGAGGAGGGTACTTTTAATTTTTGCAATCACATATTCCTTTGATTATTAATATAATATCGTTATCTTTTTTATATTATGACATCACCGAATGAGATTTGCCATGAGTAACACTACGAGTGCCATACGAGGAGCAGGATATGCTTACCCTTTCATGCTTAATGAAGCAGCCCATTTCTATCGGGTTTTGGTAGGGTTTTGAGGCATATAGTATTCTCTGTAGTGTTTTGTCTTTTTGTTGTTCTGTTTGCCATGGTATTGTTAGTTACGACTAATGCTTTTTTTATTATCATTTAGTTACCTTCTGCTTTATTTTTATATGGTTTTAGACGCGTGCATAAGTTGTGTTACTATGAAGATGTCTTGATATATTGTTGATTGCAACACTTCAAGTAACAAAAACATCAAAGATATTCAGTTAACAAATTGCAAATCAATTTATTAGATGGGAATTTGTACTTGACTTGGAAAATGTTTTCAGTGCAATACGAGGACATGATGTCCTAGAAATAGTAGATGTGGATGTAAACGTCTATAATGCAGTAACTCAAGGGAAACAAGTAACCAACGGAAATCACCAAGAGGGCAATATATAGTCTATAGGTGTCTAAACAAAGTCATGCTCTTTATCGCTTTGAGTCCATAAAGTTGGCATACATTCAACAGAAAAAAGATCTGAATATGATGAGCACATTTAGTTTTGCATCAAATCACAAATTGCTATGCGGTATGGGTATTGCTCATTGTTACAGGCCGTTCGTTGACCTTATTATAGTTGATAACCTTCTATGTCATTTTGTTGCTGGTGCAGAGTTGTCTTATTGGCAATCCTACCACATCGTGTTATTTTTATCTTGATATTATAAAAACAGTTTCACTCATCGGCTAATTTGGAGAATCCAAGTCATCTTAATCGAACACATTATTCTGACTCAGAGCAAACCGCTGTAATATCTGCGATTACTCCGAGAACGTACCACACAAAACTTCGATACAATAACGTATTACGTAACGTCGCTATAGTGATACGAATTGTATTTTTGTTAGTCATTTAAAATACCATCTGAATAATCAAGTCTTGCTCGGATCTTTCACTAGCATTTGCTCTTACTCATAAACACCGCATGCCTAACGGAGAAACATCAACTACCAATTTTGAAGTCTTTGGTTTGACTGGGCATGCGTTCAAACCCTGAACCACCCGCACTCGAGGAGAGAACGCTACCACGAGATTTAGAGCTTAATGTATCGCATAAACAACGGTTATTGTTGAATGTTACTGAAGAATGTGTATTGTCCTCTAGAAATCTTTTGATTACTTATGTCGTTATATTGCTGTTTCAATGACGTTTCTTTTCCAACTTCCTTTTGTTCATATGGGTAAAATCTTTATCATTGTTTTCATTGCTTTAGACTTTTGAAATCATCAATGTAAAATTACTTTTTTTATTACAATTAAAACCAAAAATACATTGGAACCAAATGCAAATGAAATTAGAAAAAATCAAAAACAAGATCAGCGAACATCCTTAACTAGCCATAGACTGCAATCAAATTGGTGATACATATAGAATAACGGTATTTTTGTTTTTGATACTGACTTTATCTGCAAGAATATCAAGCGAGCCCACTAGGGCGAGCTGATATTCGAGCTGATGAAGTCAGTATGAAAAAATAAAATGCCATTATTCTTTTTATCGGCAACTGTATATTTTTTTTGGTTGAGAATATGAAGCAAAATGAAATAGTTAGTAAAACTACTTTTACGCGTACACAATGTTGGGATAGTTGTTCGGTTGTATGAATGAAGTCGCGTGCATTTCATTGATAAATTGACGCGGATGGACTTGAGCACGTAACGTTGCTGCATTGATACATGACGTCATTGCCTAATATTTTCGAGTATCAAGTCCAGTCCATGATCTTAACCCTTTCACTGCCACACAGATTCTATACTTTGCCAAGTCAGATTTTGGGTATTCAAAATGCAACTGTACCGCTTATGACGTCGACAATGAGAGAACGTCACGAAGAGGGGCACAGATAAAGGTGTGCACAGAAAAAAATGTGATTTAGGGTTTTACAATGTTTTGGTATGGAGCACAGAAGACGAATTGTCAACTTCTACATATTTGAGGGTTCCGTAGTAATTTGAAACACTACATTATGACTTAATGTGTTTTCAAATGGAAATTTACAAATAAAAGTATATTAGTTAAACTTTAATTTTGAAATACGAACATTTTTTGTGTTTGTCTCATTGAAATTTAACATATTTCAAAATTAAATAAGTTTTATTCATATGTATATTAGAATATTTGTAGAATAACATTGATTTTGAACATGTATACGATATAAACATATGGGGGTACCAATGTGTTTGGAGGTTTGTAATAGTGATGATATAAAATTTAATGAATGTTGGATTTCTTCCGTCCTCTTGTGTTGTAAAATAGTAGAAAACAATCAGTCTAGATCTTTAATGAAATATGCATTTTGAGTGAGGCATGCAATTCATTTGTAAGACTTTTCTTCAAAAAGATGAAAATTATGTATTTTATTGATTTATTAGATATAGGAAGATGTGGTATGAGTGTCAATGAGACAACTCTCCATGCATCCAAGTTACAATTTATAAAAGTAAACCATTATAGGTCAAGGTGCGGCCTTCAACACGGAGCATTGGCGCACACCGAACAGCAAGCTATAAAGGGCTTGAGAATTTAATGTATACACGTGGGTTAAAACTTTTAAAGGTCAAATCTTGTGCGGTGTATTGCTGACAGTGAGCATTTCAGTTTGCATTAATCAATATTTGTTTTATTACAAATGTTGCGTGCGTATCCAGGGGAAACTTCGATGATTTGAAAATTTTTGAACCCCGCCTTTCCTGGGTATAATTATTTCCCCCAAAAATTACTAGTGTAAAACCATTCAAACGGAAAAACCAACGGTCTAATCTATATAAAAACGAGAAACGAGAAACACGTATGAACTACATAAACAGACGACAACTACTGTAATCCGATTCCTATTTATAAAATGACCCATTTTGATTTGTAGCACAAAAACGAGTCCCGTTACCCCAATTTTTATTAATTTTCATTTTCTGAAAGCACATTATGAGAGCTATCTTCTCGTCTTATCTAAAAGATTTATCGTTTAGTTTTTTTTCTATTCATACACACTGTTTTTCCAGGTATAATTTTTACAAAATCTAACATTTTTGCACAACCTGCAGCTTAAAAAAAAAAATTAAGCTCCGTGGCCCTACTGTTTGTTATATTTTTGAAAAAAAAACATGATAATAATAAACTACATTTGGCAAATGATGGAAAAATTAAAAAAAAATAGTGGATAAATGCGACGCAAAATGTTGACGGTCATTGTGTTACGATACTACAGTTATGACGTCATATTTTACCATTACGTCAAAGTCAGATGACGGCAACAGTGGCAATTCTAGCCCCTGCAATCAACTTAAAACATTTTTGCTGCATTGAAACTGTTGATATATCCGATCCTCAATGTATTGTCTCCATTCAACTGTGACGTAACGTGAATTGTTACAGAACAGACGATATAGGCAACCGTTGCCAAGCCTACATAAAGACCGTTGGTATTTGAAAGGAGTACAGAAAGCCTAAATATAGGCTCTGCGGCATAGTAAGGGTTAAAAATATTAGGCAGTAAGATCAAAGGGAAAATGTACAAATTACCGATAAATCACTATTTACTGCACACAACACAGCTCAATTTGGTTTTGTCTCCGTACTTAGAACACGGAATGCTGCCACATTTTACTTCTACGAAGTGGATAAGTCCGTGATTATAGTTATGTGATCCGTAAAATTCCGGATCTTTATCTGCACAAACATATTCTGTTGTTACAGCGTCGTTCTCGTTCCTTGCGGACACTAGAAAGCCTGTATATTCCTTTGTCCATTCTGCATAGCATGATGTTCTACCAGGGATCATCAATGTTGTTTTGCCTTTTGTCAGACAAACAGCACATGGGACATCTTTGTCATCGATGTGGTCTAAACTTTTGCTTCTGTCGGTTCCTGAAATAAATGTGCAATTTCATTGAGCGGCTCTGTGTAAAAAAATTGGGTAACTATGTATTTATACGACGACAACAACGAAACAAAGTTTGTTGTTGATATAACTGTCCAAACGAGTATTCATATTATAGGCGATACGGTGTTTGTATAAACTTACTATGGTAATTTTTTCACAGGATTTGTGATTGCCATGTGCAACAAGACGGGTGCAAGTAGCTGTGAAGGACCTACTTTCCTTTTTCAAGTGCTTGAAGCCATCTCCCGTTTTCTTGAGGTCTATGTTGCTCAATCGTTAGTTTTCTTTACAGTGGTTTGAGGACTGTTGTTTGTCTTTCTTTCGTTCTCTTTTTGTTTGCTATTATGATTCTCGATCTCTTTTCACTAGGACTGTCTTTCTCGTTTTGACATATTATCTGTTTTGATATTACCAGGTGTCAGCAAGAAAATTGAAAATGTGTTCAAATTACAATAAGGAAATAATGTATGATTTGCAATGAATCAACACTCCACCAGAGACAAAATGACGTTGAAGTTAACGACTATTTGTCATCGTACGGCCTTTAACAATAAGCAAAACCATACCGCATAGTTAGCTATAAAAGGCCATGAAAGGACAAATTTAAAACAAATCAAACGAAAAAAAAAAGAAAAAAAAACGGCTTGATTTGTATACAAAACAATAAACTAAAAACAAATTAACTATTTTTTTTTTAATTTCAAACAAAACAATAACAGTATTAAAACAACTTTATAAAACAATAACGAAAACTTCTAAAGTTATTATATACTTCTGTGTCATTTGGTCTCTTGTGGAGAGTTGTCTCATTGGCAATCATACCACATCTTCTTATTTTTAGAGGTTTGATTTTAATTTGATATGTTGGATAGTAAAGTGAAAGTAGTGTTAAACGCCAATTAAACAGTCAATCAATACACGTCTAGATATGGAATATAACAATACAAGTCATCTCGTTATATTAAGCTCTGAATGGCTCCTAGTCAAACAAAAACAATATATATATATCGTTGGTACATTTACATGATCTATGCTATCAAGCGTGTCAGTTATAATTTCTAACCATCTATATCATTATAAAAGAATAGTTTTGTGACACGGCCCGGCTTATCGTATACATGTAATACAGGTATAAACGATTCTAAAAAGGTTTGATTTTTCATACCTGTTAATTCCCAACCCATTCCAGAAAGACGCCCAGGAAGGCTAACCCAGTCTGCCGGGAAAGAAGCCGCTTGAGGATCACTGGTCAAACACAAATAATTGGATCCACTTCCCTTTGCATTATGCAAAGGACCAGCCATATATCCTAAAATAAATATCTAATCTACATATACACATATGATGAAAAGCCACGATGAATACGCACATAAATTTAAACAAAAAAATTGAGATGTGCCCTGCCCTTCACTAGCACAATACCTGTTTCAATTTCTAGCTGGAGCAAGCAAATATATATAAGTTCATTCTCCAAATATACCATCTTGGAAAGTTGTACGTCTATAATTAGTTTTTTAGTGAAACTATGTTAATAATGTACGCTGTATTTCAAATAGTAATTTTATGATCTTCTTGTCATCATGGCAGAAGGACAAATTGTTCTAACAATGGAACAAATTTACAAACGAATTTTAGAAAATGTAGATCCAAAAGAGAGGTGTGAGATATAAAGCGAAAAAAAAGAGGTATGTTTGTTGATTGACTGATTGCTGTTTATTTGTGTTCAGTGGCAAGTATTTTATGCATTTTGAATCAGGAGAACACATTGATAATACATAAAATAAGTAAGTTCAACAATGGATTAGTTCAGTTTCACGACAGAAATTTCGACTGCTGCTTGAAATGAAAGTATGCGGAATAGAGACAGAAATGTTGATTATCAATATACCACCTACGGAACGGTCAAAGAGTTTTTAACATTCAGAAAGCGTGGCAGTAAGGTTGTGTTTTGTTGTGATGCAAAAATATGAGTATCGTCATCTTCACTGCCTAAAGGGAATTTTGGGGTCTTTACAATCTGTTGAATTTATGCGACAGTAGTTCACTGATGTTAAAAACCTGAAATTTAAATCAATCATATTTAAACTATAAGTGGTCCTACAAATATCAAATTCAACATGTTTTAGTTATCATACACGAAGGACCAATTCCACTGTTTACCGTCATTATAAATACAATGTAAGTGAACCAAGAAATTATTCTATAGTGTATGTGTGTATATAAATTTCAACAATCTGATAAGAAATTCTAGATATAGTTGTGGTGACATGCCATCTTCTGGAAAACAACATCGGTGCAATTAGTTTCAAAACGAGTTTTCGTGTCGGCGTAATATAGTAAATAGTTGATATTCATACAAGAACAATATAACTACTTCCCGTTCCGAAAAAGGACATACATTTTTTTCTATGAATCTCTCTGCTTATCTCTATATGAAGAATGTAATGAATAGATTGTTCTTTCATACCTTTATATATTAATGACGACAGTGTACCATCACATGATTGTCGTCCCCATCTAACAAATGTACTGCCCTTAACACTTTCCTCTATAAATAAAAAAAACAACACACAATTATTATCAACATTGTAGGAATATTATTGTTATCTGTAAACTGCAGTTTTAGGATGGAGTTACATTAAGGGATATAATAATTTTTTATGAGAATGTAAGAGTTATATCCCATAAACAAGGGCTATCCCTATTTGCAAGTCTTGAAATGGTTACTCTTGTTTTTCGGGGGTTTCAGGATTTAGGATGGTTGATTGTTGAATTTTATTGTCATATAACAGTTTTGTTTTTTCCGGCTTGCGGTAATTGAACCATTTGGTAATCACTGTTGCAAATAAAGTTTATTCATACATGGATATTTAACTAATCTTGATATATGGACTTTTTTTCAAACATGCAATATTATATGCAAAAAAGAAAATGTTGAACACATGCGTAAATTCTGAACATAAATAAAAGTGTAACAAAAAAAAAAGTTTGTCTGAAGTTACCAATTTATTTCCATTGTTGAATAGCAGAAAGAACAGCAATTGAAAGCATGATGTTTCGGACTTCTTTTAAACTGCTGTGTGTTTGTTTATTCTACATTTGCTAGAGGTATAGGGGGAGGGTTGAGATCTCACAAAACATGTTTAACCCCGCCGCATTTTTGTGCCTGTCCCCTCTGGCCTTTGTTAGTCTTGTATATTTTTTAATTTTAGTTCATTTATGTTTTGGAATTTAGTAGGACGTCCATTTTCACTGAACTATTACATCTTTTTATTTAGGGGCCAGCTGAAGTCCGCCTCCGGGTGCGGGATTATCTCGCTGTGTTGCAGACCCATTGGTGGCATTATATTCATGTTGATGCTTATGTGTTTTATTTACACTTGTTAAACGTAAATACGTTTTTGTCATTAATAGTTTACTTGTTCAGACTTTATTGGTGATATCGTCAGAAAATCAACCTACTAGTAATCAAATTAAATGATACTTATTTTACTGCATCAGACGTGCATTGCGACAATTAATATGATTAAATCGTAGCAGTTTTTACCTTTAAGGTACCTGGGGTGTCTTCCTCCATCTTGGATTTTGAAATAGCAGATAACAATCGGTCTATATCTTTAATGAAATGTGTAAATGTCGTGAGAAGTATGTAATTCATGTGTAAGACTTTTCTTGTAACTATAGGAAATTATGTGTTTTATCATATTTTCGGCTGTATTTTACAAAAAACAGAATTTTTTTGCTTGATTCATTTTTTTTCAACTTTGCCACATACGGGGAGATAACTCAAACAAAAGGGGAGATAACTCAGATAAAGTAACTTTTATAATAGAATGTGTTGTGAATTTACCTATTTTGATATATAGTAAAAAAACGAGTTCGGTGACCCCATTTTTTCTTTTTCTTATATGAAAGCATATTATTAGAGCTATCTTCTCTCATATTTTATCTTACAATTCTATGGTGTAGTTTTCTGTATATCACACAAAATTGTGTTTTCCATGCATTATCTATATAAAATCTGACAATTTTGCACAAGCTGTACCGTGAAAAAAAAGCCCGGTGACCCACACTTTTTATAATATTTTTGAAAAAAGGATGATATAAACTACATTTTGACAACCTATTAAAAAATTCTATGGATATTAATGAAGACTCCCTATCCACCTTAAATATCTTATTTTTACATTTATCATAAATGCTAGTATCTTTACCTTGTAATGTTTCAAGTTTTGTTTTTATATCCGACTGCATCAATCTTGTTACATTGCCATGAATTTGATCGACTGCATTCTCCATTTGAATATCAAAAGATACTTTAACAGCTTTTGTCACTTCTTCCATAATATAATTATGCAAAACATTATTAAGTTTGGAAACATCCAAATCAGCTTTCAAAGTGGCTTTCATTTCATCTATCAGTGGAACCGATATAACGTCTCGACATTGTTCCCCAATGCAGTCATGAACGGGAGCACAACTGGTGGATAGAATACCACATAACAGAAGATTTAATATAATATAAATCATGTTACTTTAAATTTTCCGTCGGAAAAAGTAATATCATAAAGAAAAACAACAAGTCTTTCCTTCTGTCTGACGTAGGCTTTCTGTGTGTTATTTTATACCAGTAAATACAGGAGGATATTTATTATGTGTAGTAAAACGTAACACATGTATTGATTTCATTCGTAAACTCCTACTTTTCCTCAATTTTTTGGCGATGCGTAATAACAAATTCAGTCCATCTGTCTGTAACGCACTACTTCTGTAATACCTTTGCACCTAAGTAATCCTTGGCAAGATTGTTTGCAATCATCTTTGGCATATCATTTACTTTGATTTGACAATTCTTCTGCCTTATGGGACTTCGACTCTTATTTTACATTTTTTGATAGTATAATGACACCTTGTGAACGTTACTCAACGTAAAGTACATATTCGAAAAATTTCACCATAAGTAAGATTGATTTTCATAGTATGTTGTTGATAATTTGTTTTAGACAAAAACAAAGTGCTCTCGACCAATGAAATTGTAGGATTTGGTGTAGAAGTTATTTTTAATTGTAAAGATTGTATGTAAAACATGATCGTAAAAAGGGATTATCCTATTGTTTAAAACTTACAATTTGAAACACAGAATTTATTTCAAATGAGTTACAACTTCTCCAAAGAACATTTATTAGCTTGACATGAAACGAATTTTAATTGAATTTGAAACGAAAAGTTGACATTTACAGTTGATGTTATATTGGTTCATGTACTGTTTTTGTTATTTTTTTAATATCAGTAACTCAAAAAAAAAAAAAAAAAAATGTCAACGAAATACAAATCAAAATCGTAATTAATCACAGTAACACAAATATTTTGCTTGTACGCCTACAAAAACTTCGATTACTGGATCCTCGGTTAGCAAGGAAACCATTTCAAATATTTTGATACAGATAAAACGTGATGATATTCAGTGTCGTTTGATTAAGTGTGTGATGTTTTACTAGTTGACATTGCTGTAAAAACACACACAGTACTAAAATAGATAATTGCATCAGAAAAATACATATAAATTTTACATGTTTTATCAACATACGATAGGATAAAGTCAAAATTAAAAAAAAAGTAAAGAATCGAAATTATAAGCCGAGTCATTTGGAAGTTGGTATATGTTATAAACAGTATAATTTAAGTTTGCATTTCGAGCTTTGAATTTCTTTTGGATTTTGTGACTTGCTAAAAAAATAAAGCCAGTATGTGAATAGGCTACGTTCCTGAAAATAAACGGAAGCAATTTTAGCTCGAAATCCTTCATTTGTAGCATTTACAGTCGACAGTAAAGTCTTGTCATGTTGCCTTTCATTTATGCAACTGCTTCTTCCATTTGAGTGTCAGCCAAGAACTGCATTGGGCAGCAATGTTAGGAAATAATACCCGTTTCACTGGCAGACCAAACAAAAGTCACATTGAAAGGTGACTTGGACGTTGCCTAATTTAATAACGTTTTGTCAAAGAAAATCCAGCAACATTAAAAGATATGTTATAAAATGAATTCGTTTTATTTTTTGTTTCTTTTTATAACGCAGCTATTACAACAACGTTCTTTTTGTTTCTTTGTAACACTAATGTTTTGTTTAAAGGTTTGTAAAAGAAGTGGGTATACATTGTTTATTATTGATCGAAATGTGAATAGAAAGCAGTAGAAAGTTATATAACACTGCTTATTTTTAACTTAATTACAAATGTTTTTATATTGCAATTACCTCAAAATACGTTAAGAGGAAAGCACTGGGTGTTCTGCAAATGCTTTAATTATTAAATGCGTATGGTATGATTTACTGATTCATATTGTCTTTGTAGATCTTTGCAAACAAAGATGACTATTTGTTTATAGAAGTTCTACCAACGGTTATTTCAGAGAGAAAGAGAGAAACCACTTTAACAATTACATGTAACATTAGATTAAATGCTTTCTGTTTCAAATTAGTATTACACATAAAAGAGGAACCACAATCCTAATATGTGTTTAATCAAACGCATGGAATAAAGATTATCATGTACTCATCAGTGTAGTTTTTGGCGGTGCATATGTTTTGCTGCATTTCATGAATTTATTTGCCGGGTTTATCTGTTAATGAAAAGGTACAAAATGACAAAAAAAAATCATTTGTCCAGGTAGGCTAGACTTTCACCATGCAGACTGTTACATGTGTACTTTTTAAAACAGTACGTTAAAATCAAACACATAATCATATCATGTCAACATGTTCTTGTCATGATAAGCCTATAATGTATAGCACTGGATGTGTAACAGCAACCCGTCCATATCTCTTCATCTATTTTTTGTTGCTCAAATCATTTTTCAAGCGTTGCTGACAAGATTAAACAAGGAATCGACATCGAACGGAACAACGATATTTTCTCAAATATTATAATAACATATTGTTTGTTAATAATGAGATTGAATGTATCGGGAAAATGATACCAGTTCTTTTTCCATCAAAAGTTGTAATATTTTTATAATCAGCAAACGTCATCTTTCAACTATACATACTATGCAAGATCGACATGTTGAAAAGATGTTCTTCTCAGACTGGCGGCTATGAACCCCTGTTAAGTCGTTCCATTATTCTCGTGTCTGGTTTGTGTTAACGTTAATTTGTGTTACAATAACGATTTTGTGCAAACGAGACCAATCAGGCTGAACAATAAATCATTGAAAAAATAAGTAGTTTATCCAATCTATTTTGAATGTTGATTAATGTGTTAATTTGAAGTAAGATCGATAACTAAACGTTGTGTTTTGTAAACATATAAATTACTATGATTTGTACGGAAATTGTCGGGGTTGCTAAATTACTTTTTTCAGTTACAGAATAAATACTTTCAATAACAGATACATCTACAAATAGTTATACAAATACAAAAATACAAATACTAAAATACAAATAGTAAAATACAAATACAAAAATACAAATGATTGAACTTGCTTTGAAACTGATATATGTTCGTCGGACGCGTCTGATGTGTCCTAAAATTGACTCTTCTAGTTTTGTGTCTCAGTTGTGTTTACGTTATATAAAAAGTGTGATAGCAAACACATATTTGCCAACAAACATTATTTGTTTGTTTACATTGTGAACAAGAAATTGTGATGAAAACCAGATTAGATGACCTATTCAAACCTTTTACATATTTTATGTTAATATACTTTTTCTACAGACCGAAACTCTCAAACTGACAGAAATATAATTTAGATCAAGTTAATTTCACAAATGAAGTACGTAACTTGCACAGGTTTGCTTTGTATAGTGGACACTTCATATACTCCTAGTTAATCATAAGTTCAACTAACTCTAAAAAAGAGAGAGTTCTTATTGATTTAAGATTTGATAAACGCTTAACCATTACAAATGACAGTAACATGCATATACATATCATTGTACACATATACCGTTTACAACGAATTAACATTTAATCTATGTAAACCACGTTTTATATTGTTAATACTATGAAATAATTAGGTTATGAAAAAAAAATCACGAATGTATAAAACACAAATTATTATTAATTCAAAATAAAACGAAAACCAAAGGAAAAACAGAAAAAGAAACACCCCAGGCAACAGACCTGGTGTCAATTACATGCCAAAGTAATAAATTACATTTCAATTACATTGATTTTTAAATGTAATTAATTACATCACAATTACATTGATTTTCAAATGTAATTAGTTACAATACAATTACATTTCCAATGTAATTAATTACATTTCAATTACTTTTATCCAAAGATATATGTAAGACCTATATCATTTAGAATAAAATCCTAAAATTGACAACAGGCTAGAATATAATGAAATTTTGATATATATATGTGCACTTTTCAACAGTGAAAACATTCCAACAAGATTTGTGTTATATAGATCCAAATCAATATATTTTTTATTCTTAACCAAATTTTGTTAAAATCTCACTTTTCTCCTAAACATGTTAATCTAGATTTTAAAGGTTTTCTTATGTACCACATGTGAAATTTGAAGTAACTTTAAAGCTTGAATTAATTACAGAAGAGTAATGGTAGCATTTCCAGACTTGTCTTTTGGCAATTATATTGGACTCCCTTCTTGTATGTTTTGACTGCTGTATTTGAAATTTTTGAAGAAAGTGTTTAAATGATATCCATCTGTACAGATTTTAATATATAAATATGATGGTTTAAAAAAAATTTGCCTTTGGCATTTTAATCAAGGGACAAACTTGTACTTAATAATTAGTTAAGTGAAAGGAATAACCTGAGGCTAAGATTATTGTTAATTGTTAGAACAACATACTTACAAATTAATAAAATTGAGAATGGAAATGGGGAGTATGCCAAAGAGACAACAACCCGACCAAAGAGCAGATAACAGGCGAAGGCCACCAAAAGGTCTTCAACGCAGCGAGAAAATCCCGCACCCGGAGGTTGTCCTAAGCTGGCCCCTAAATAAAATTGTGTACTGGTTCAGTGAACATGGACGTCATACTAAACTCCAAAACATATAAAGGAACTAAAATTAAAAAAAAAAACATACAAGACTAACAAAGGCCAGAGCCTACTGACTTGGGACAGGCGCGAAAATTCGGCGGGGTTAAACATGTTTTGTATGTAAATAAATTGGTATTGTTTTTAATTTTTAGATTTTTTATGTAAGCATGTGACAAAATTAAGAATTAAATACAAATAAAGATTATTAATAATTATACATTCTATGATGATTAATTAAAAATCAAGGAATGTTATTTTTTTCATTCTGACAAATGTTTAAAAATCATTTAAAAAAAAAATCAAAGTACCAAGTGCATACTAAATGTAGAAAAATAAAATGTACCAGTTGCATCCGAAAAGCCAAAAAAAGTTTAAAATTTCCATGCAATTATTTAAATGTAATTCAAAGTAATTGAAAAGTAATTCATAATTACATGGCAAAAAGGCAATGTAATTCATTACTTTCAATTAAATGTAATTGAAAATATGCTCAATTACACATTACATTGAATTGCTTTCAAAATTGTAATTAATTAAAGCTAATTATAATTACATTTTTAATTACCCCAGGTCTGCCAGGCAAAAAAAAAAAAAGAAGGCACAAACGAAACCGCAAAAACAAAACGAACAAAACAAGTACACTACATATTATGATATTCAAACTGTTGAAAATAAATAGGTCATCAACTTTTCACGAATGTCTTGTAAAAGCTGTACTATGCCAAAAAAAAAGCATTATGCTGCT